AATATAACCCCTTTACTTCTAAATCAAGGCATATCTATTGCTGAAGAATTTATAGTGATTTCTGACCTTTTCCAACGAGTTACGAAGATCTAAATTAGTTTAGTTTAGTAATATTTACTTTCAAATCATTAGATTTATTATTTTAATCAACTTTTAGCCATTTCTAAATAATAATAATAATAATAATAATAATAATAATAATAACTAGGTTTTAGTTTTGCAAAGACTTTGACTTTTTATGTGATAAATGATTAGATTTGATTTTTAATTCATGTTTCTATCTAGTGATTTTGGTTTAACCTAACGTTTGATTTTGGTTCGATTCTTGTTGGCCACCTGAATTAGGATTAACTCAAACAAGGTAATCAGTTGTTAAAAACTGCAATTGATTTAGTAACTAGAAACGAGTAACAACTATCAAATTGGTTCCTTGTTAGGATTTAATGTTGATGTAAACTAAAAATCACATATTTTTATGCTTCCGAGCTTGTAATAAGTATTGAATATTGCTGGAAAATTTATCAATATCTAAAATAATTTATTAAAAGTTAATAAGTATATGTGTGTTATAGGTGAAGGAGGGTAAGAAGTGTTACTTGTAAGTGAAATAGTAGGTTCTACACAATCAATGTGAGTACATACCCAAAGTACATGTCCTCTACTACCTATATTACTTATACTTATATGACTTGTTTGCTATGTGGCCTTATGGTATATGTGTGCATTGCATGAAAATGAATTATGGAATATGTTTTGTATTTGGAAATGATTTATGGTATGAAAATTTGATTTGGAGCATCCTTACTTGTGCAATGCATGTAGGATGGATTTTGAGAGTCCCTGTGACTTATGATACATATAAAGGGTGAAATTCCATGGATTTATGTAGGATCTTGTATCCGGACTAGTAGAGAAACGTACTCTTTTTGAATCACAATGCTTCGGGATAGGCTTTGCAAACCCATTCCATGGAAAACATATTTAATGATCACATGTTTATCATAAATTTTGGGAAGGTAAGGAACCTTCATGAGGTGTTGGCATCGGCTACAGTTTAAGCAGGTTTCTTATTTGGAAATAGCCATATCATTTGTCCCTTAGATTATGAAGGACCATGTTGAGAGTAAAGGATTGGGATGGGTTAGTTGCATGTGTATTGCATCTTGATTATGAACCTACCTTCTTTTAAACTTATATATCATTGATACTGAAAGATTGGTGGAATAAGAAATTGTTTTTGAAATTATGTGATATATCATTGATATTGAAAAGATTGGTGGAATAAGAAATTGTTTTTGAAATTATGTGATGCAAGGGAAATGGTTACGATAAAGTTTATTATTTTGTAAAAGGTTTTTAAAAATGATTTTAGGAATCTTAACATACCAATTAGGAATTGTCATTTCCAATTCCATTTCATAGTTGGATTTTGGTATTGCTCGCTAGTCTTCCCAAGCCTAACATACTATTTTGACATGTAATTGCATATTAAGAATTGAAGACAAGGAGCATGTGTGGACATTTTGAAGGTCATGCATGGTTCATTTAAAGCTATGTTTCGATATTCGACTTGAAAACCCTCGTACTTTAAACTTTGATAACTAAAACCTTTTTTGATGAACGAGGACCATATTATTCTGTATACGTTGTTAAAAAAAACCTTAAAGGAATTTTCTCATAAATAACCTAATTTCTACTAACCCGTACGATGGGTGTTTCATTAGTAGTAAGGGGTGTAAAAGAGATATCTCTTATGGTGTGAAGCACATGCACCAAAAGTACAAGAGATAAATTTTGGGGCTGTTTTATCTTGTCTAATTACTCAAACATATGGGTAACAAAGACAACGGTATTTCGAAGAATGTTATATGGAGGTGGGGTGTAAAAAAGAGTTTGTATGTGGTATTGTGACTTGGTGTTTTTTTGAAGGAAGTCGATTAGTTAGGAAAGTAGCAATGACATATGCCAGGAAAAAATGGGGATTTTGGCTTGAAATAGTAAGGTTAGGGGGTGTATTACCATAATGTGGAGTGATTCTTAAATTGTAAAGGAATTGGGATATTTGTCCTTTGGTTAGGTTAGAGCATAATCACAATGAAATTGTTTAATGTTGCTTGAGAAAGGGTCAGTCTAAACATATTTTGGATCCAGGGAAAAAGAAAAAAAAATAAGACCCTATAAAAATAATAAACCATTTACAAAAATCTACTAGTTCAAAGGAATATAAATCTTTGACTTTTTAAATGCAAAATCATTTATTTATCAATATTGTCTAATGGATTTTTCTCTATACTTAACATAGTCAAATCATCCAACAATTCTTGTGACATCGATAACGTTAGGTAATCTTTTGGTAATTTCAACTTTGAAAAGTTTGTCTATGTTGATGATATTAATCATTAATAGGTATAGTTGATAGAATTTTATGAAAAAATCTTTTGGTAGCAATCAACAACTTTAATAAATTCTACAATTTTCAACCGAACACATAAACACGGTTCATAAAAATTTTAGGCCACTTAAAGAGATGACCTGTGTATAGTCGATCATGTTGCCTATGACCTAGGTTGAGAACAAGTTTTTCCTGGGCTTTGAAATGGAAAAAATGCAAGTTTTGATGGAGAATAGTTTCTATTTTTAATTCAATTATTTGTCAAGATAATGAATTCAATCGGGACAAACTAGATAATTAATTAATTAATTCAAATGTTGTTTCTATTAATTAATTAATTCAAACGTATAATTTTGTTAACAATATGTGAAAATAAGCTAAGAATCAAACACCATGTCACCGTCTATATAAGTCAACTAGGCGAATATATGCACAACGCGCAAAATAAAATTATGTAGTTGAAATTTGGCAAGTATATATTGAAAGTAAGTATGTTATTAATACTAACCATGAAATAATTGTTTCTTACACTAACTTGTTATGTAAAATTGTAATGATTTTGAAATATGTTATAAAATCTATTAAAATCATATCATTTAATGTCCGCTACTCGTAACTAACGTATGAATAAAACAAATTATAATTCTCGATCTAATGTTATTATTAACTAATTTAGAAATTACTTATTTAATATTTTTATAAGATAATGTAATGTGTTTTATAAGGTTATGATATTTTTAATTATTATTATTGTTAATGGTTATGATTTAAAAACCATTTATTTGAAACGAAATTAATTATTATAAAAAAAATTAGTTTTTGATATTTTTGTTAATTCGACATGCCGATTTAGTTTTATATTTAAGACATTTAAATGTTTTAAACTATTTTAAAAAATAATGTTTGAATACCTTTATGTTTATTTGATATTTTGATTTATGTTTTGGATTTAACATGATATTTAAATTAACATTTTAAGTATTTATATTGATAATTCAAAAAATCTACTTAATATAACAATATTTCACATTTAATAATTAATAAAAAAATATTATAATGAAGTATGAAGAGTTAGGGGTTTCGTGTGTTAAAAGAAAAAAAATATATTTTATAATATTGTATTGATATAAAAAATTTGTGTTGTCCAAAAACCTTTTAAATTTTTTAATGAAATCTAAGTAGTGTCAATTGGAACGCGTTTGGTGAAGGTTTTTATGGAAATTTAGTAATCTAACCAAAATTTAATATATATTTAAAAAAATGTTTTTGGTAAAAACAACCATCAAGTCTCGAATAGACATTCCGGTGAGAAAAAATACATTTTTCTGACAAAAAAAATACTTTTTTGGACTGTCTAGAATTCTTAACCAACATTCAGGATTCCAGTCTGAAATTTTAGGGTTTAAAAAAACTCTTGAATTTCAAAAACAAGTCCGAGAGCGATGAAAATTCCGGAATTTCGAGAAAAAATCGTTATTACTTAAATCTAACACAAAGTTAAACAAACATAGTAAATGTGAACTATATACGTTATTATGGCATAAAATCAGACATTTGATTGAAAACGATTACATTAAACACTTAAAAATTGACATTTTGAGACACAAGTACAGAGATTTCTTTTAAATGAAAAAAAAAAAAAAAAAAAAAAAAAAAAAAAAACTCTGAAATTTAAAGATCAAATCCAAAATAGAGCATTCCAGAGTAAATAATTATTTTTCAAAAACTATATATATAGATATTATATATATATATATATATATATATATATATATATATAATTCATTTATAATTATTAGTTTACTTAATTTCCCATTATTTTTATATGGTTTTTTAGAGTTTTAACTAGTTTTGAAAATGTTAGTAGAAAACTCTTTTTTTTATTTTCTTTTTGTATAACGACTTACATGTACATTTACTATTTTACTCATAAATTTACATATTTTGTCCACAACGGTACTTGAACCCTCAACCTGAGAAACATCTATCCGTCAAATCTGATTATTTGACTTATGTTTTCTATATTTTGCGCATTCACAAATATTTAATTTTACTCTTCTAATCATACTTATATTTTAAATATTTATTACTTTTTTGACTAGTTGATTGATTGATAAAATATAAAAAATAGCAGGCACATAATATATATATATATATATATATATATATATATATATATAACTTTTAATTTTTATAGCCATATGTGTTTGAGAGCAAATTAATCAATTAAAAAAACATTTGAAAAAGTTTATGTATTTAAAAGGGTTTGTGAGCATGTGTTTTTTTGTTAAATAAAGGTTATTATTTATTATTATATATATATTAAAGTTATGAAAGATTTTAACAGTAAAGTGACACCTTTTTATGTCAATTTTGGTCCTCCAATTTATAATATTGACCCTTCACTTTTATGCTTTTGTTCACAAACAACCCTTTCACTTTGGTTTGAATTTTTCATAACCCTCGCCTGTTCCTGGGGTTACCACACTGGTTACGACTTTACTTCCCGATCCTTCCACCCTGAACCTTCCACAATCTTCCTTTTAAATATTGGATATGTTAAATATTTTATAGAAAAAAAAATAATATATAGAATGAAAAAAGTAAGTAAATATAATCATGGGTCGGGCCTCAAGGGAAGTCCATCATTTACCCCCATTACTATACAAGTTAAATCGTATCTACAAATGTAGCACTATATATACAATTGTTTAACTAGGAATGAAGTCCATTTACCTTTTTTCCCTTTTAACTTTATATATTTTTCCTATTTCTTGCTCAACAAATTCCACCCAACATTCTACCTACATTATATAAATTCCAAATCCTTTCATTTCACGTTTCTTACCTTAAATTATCCCATCTTTGAAAGGGCCAGAATCCTTTATCAGTTCTGTAACAAGCTTCACCTGTTAAAAAAATCACAATCCAAAAAAAAAAAAAAAACATTACGTTATTTTCATTAAACTACATTTTGGTCCTTGAGTATACTCAATTTTTGCAATTTTAGTCCTTATTTGAGGTTTTTGAAACGTATTTGTTCAGTAATATAACTATACTTTTGGTACCAGAATTGAAAAAATCAACTATACTCAGGGACCAAAAATAGTCATTTTACTTGGAACTTGAACAGTTAACGTTACAAAAACCTTAAATAAGAACCAAATTTGCAAAGGAAAACCTATTAGGACCAAAGTTGCATTAATTAACTATACTCAGGGACCAAAAGTGTAATTTACTCTATTCTTTTTTACCCTTTTAAGTTAATCGTTTTTGTTGTTTCTCGGTTTTGAAAAAGGTGAAATAAAAATATAAAAATGTTACCTGATCTGTTTCTCGAGACAAAAAGTTGCCAATGACTTGTCTAAAACCTTCATCTAATAAATAATGACAGCTGTACGTGGTGACAGGTAGATAGCCACGTTGGATTTTATGCTCCCCTTGAGCTCCTGCCTCTACTTTCTCCAAATTTAGCTCGATCGCAGCCTCAATTGCCTAATATCAAAAATTAAAAAATTAGGGTTTTTGAACCGATTCTCTCACTTTGAAGGGCATTTTAGACATTTAATCATTAGTCAAACAAAACGAAATGCTTATTAATATTTATGTTTTCTTTTTCATATGATAAAAGGGTAACAACCTGATAGTAGCATGCTTCAAAATGCAAACTTGGATAATAGACACGTGGCAGACAACCCCACAGCCGCCCATAAATTGTATCTCCGCCAATAAGATTAAGAGCTCCGGCCACCACCTCCTCCCCTTCCTCAGCCACAATTAGCATTACATGATCCTCCATTTTTGAGCCCATCATATGGAAAAATTCTCTTGTTAGATAAGGAGTACCCCACCTATGCCAATCAATGTACATCAACACCATTTAATATATTATAAGTAAAAAAAAAAAAAAAAAAAATAGCAACTTAATTACTTCCATTTGTTTCTACTTTAAAAAAATTATACACCAATTATAGCAATTTCATCCAAATACAAAGAGCTACAAAAATTATCTTCATATGCTCAATTGTGAGATATGATTCTCTTTGGGAAAGAAAATTTAGAGTCGAATTATATAATTACAGAAAAACCAATGGATGAAGAAAGAGTCATATGCACTGAACTTGTTGTCTGTGGTGTTCCTGTAGAATGTATAAAATGTATCCCAATGCTTAGCCTGTAAGTGTGAAATAAACCAAGTAAGATTAAGTTTCTTTTTTCTTTTAAAAAAAAAAAAACTTTAAATACAAAAACCAAACATAATTTATGTACAAAAAAGAACAGCAGCCTAAGTGGGACAAATCAAAAAGTACATTGTTATTTTATTACCTATTAAAAAAATAGATATATTTCATAAAGAAAAATACTAAATGGAATAATCCATAAGCACACCTTAATTTCGTAACCCCTCAGACGCTTCATTGTCAGATTTTGAGCAGGTATCTGCAAAAAGATGAAATTACGAAAACGCCCTCCAATGTGATGTACACATTAAGCAAATGTACCTTCTTGCGTTCTTGTCGAATATTTTTTCTTTTGCTTTGCTTCATGTCCATCAAGAAATCATCAAAACTGTTGATGTGAAAAAAAAAAAATTAATAGTATATGCTTAAAATGGTTAAAGTCAAGATTCAAAAGTCAAAGTTTTGCTGACTTTTTGTAGTTGCGGTTTTTCCAGTGATATTGCATTCCAGTCCTTTGCAGGAAATCTTTACCCTTCAATGCATTCCATTCTTGTTCAGAGGAAAAGGTTATGTGTAATGATGAAACTCCAAACTGCCAAAATGCAAATGCAAACTTAAAATTAAAAAAGACAATAATATAAAATTGATAGTTTTAGAATTTAGAATGAAAGATAATAAATACCTTAATTGCCAAATCCTTCATAGCAGATACTAAAATGTCAAAGACTTGATCTTTGTATGAAGTGTTTCTCAATAAGATCCTTGGACCAGGTACTGGAGTAAAAGGCACACAACACTGCAATTTTGGATAATACCTTGAACCATAACGATAATAAGCATCAGCCCATGAGTGGTCAAAAACATATTCACCATATGAATGACTGCAGTTAAAAAAAAAAAAAATAGATATGAGAATCAAATAACTGCATGTCTTTATAAATCTCAAAGGGTATTGACTATTGACTATTGACTATTGAATAAATAACCTTTTTAGATACAATGGGATCACGCCCATGATATTTTTATCTTCATCATATGCAACTATGTGACGTGGCAGCCATCCTGTTTCCTAATTTAGCATTAAAAAATATAAAAAAGAATGTATATGTTATAATTTATAAGATGTTAATGAAGGTAAAGAGGGAACAAAGTTATAAATTCATGCAAATAGTACAAAACTTTGCTTGATGTAAAATTTCTAACCTTAATTGCAGAACCTGATTCCTCTAGGCTTGAAAGAAATCCATGAGAAAGAAAAGGATTAAATTGTTGTACACCAGTAGCATCAAGACTGCATGCATCCCAATCACTAGAAGGAACTTCTAAAATTGAAGAGACTACAGAAACTGATATCTTTTTAGCTTTCTCAGTTTCTGATGATTCTTCCTAAATTACAAACAATATAACAGCATACATTACAAGGGCACTTATAGAAAATAGAAAACAGAAGTCTTTCATGTCAATTTATTGTAAACATGTATACATGATTTGATTACACACCTTGGTATGGATCTTGGTCGATGTGAAGTTGTTTAAGGAGAGATACATTTCAGGAGGTTCCACAGGCTTCTTAGGTTCCCAAAAGAGTGCTTTTATTCTTGATGTGTGATTGGGAATTAGGAAGTGTTTTCTACATGATAAGCCTCCCTAGAAAAATAAGTTTCAATGAAATGATATACCAAAAGCATTTTCTACATCGAAGGTTCATATTGCTAACTTCTATTAATCAGTAAGGACTTGAGAGTTGCGAGTCCAACATGATAATCTGAACATTTCAGTTTTGGAGGACAAAAATTAAAAGCAAGGAGAGGAGACAATGGAGTCTGGTAGCAGAGTTTAATATAGTAATTACAGTTCAAGAGATGGTTTATATGAAAAAATTAAACAAATGAAAAGAATTAACTTTAGGTCTAGAGAAAAAATCGAGATGTATTTGTTGAAAGTGAATTCAGTCGTCAATCTTTTGTTACTGATGAACACACATCAATCCCGCAGTTGAAAACTAGTTCAATTCAGATAGCATATCACTGGTCACTCAATTCAATGGCATGGCAACTGAAGTAACTATAAACACGATGCTTACAATTACAAACTCGAGAATCTGTATGATCTGAATAGAGGTATAAATCGTTAATTCCAGAATAAATTGGGAAGGGATAAGGCTTACAAGGCCAAAATCGATGTCGCCGAGAAATGGTGAAGGGCGAACCACAGCCATGGACATTGCCATGGCCGAGAAGAAGCCGAAGCTGAAGTTGAAGGTGCCAACTGTGGCTTTCGGAGTCTCTTTCAGCGAACCAAAGCCACTTGTGTGTGGGTTATCTTGCGACACCAAAGCTTCCCCTGTCTACTCTCGAATTTCAATCTTGGAGCCCCTCCCTCCTAACTACAATTTTTTCTATCTTCTTTTTGGTTATTTTTTGAGAAACCAAAATTAGGTAATAATAATAACTAGGAAAAGGGACAACCGCACGGGTCATTCTTTTCAAAAAAAAAAAAAAAAAAAAAGTACAAGAATATGATAAACGAAAATTACAAAGAATAAATAAAATTGATTTAATTTAGCAACTTTTTAGAAAATATTTGACGAAAGTCTTAATGTTAAAAAGTTCGGGTTGATAATAGAAGAAAAGAAAGTATCAAAATAGAATAACGTTGAAAAATGGAAGACAAAATTGTAAATGGACTAAAAAAAGGACCATTTTTGAGAAAATATAAAAAAACATGTGAGAAAAGTCACAACTGAATCTTTTAAAAAAAAATAAAGGATAGAAGAATACGGCAGACAAAAATGATAAAGAATAAAGAAAAAGGGTTGTAAAGAAGTAAAAATGAAAGTTTAGTGACAAAAATATAAAGAAGTAAAAATATAATTGCAAAATTATAAAGATGAATAGTTTGTTGAAACTTTAATGGAAAAATTATAAAGAAGTAAAAATAAAGTGGTAAAAGTATAAAAAGAACGAAGTTTTTTGTTGAAACTTCCTATGTGCTTTAATATATATATATATATATATATATATATAATAAAATAATAATAAATTAATAAGTCTTTTTTTAAGGCCAAGTGTCTATATATTTTTTAAACAAAATACAAAAATAGTTGTTTGTCCAAAAAAGTTTGAACATTCAAAACTTTTATTTTGTTGCGATTCAAAATTTTAATGAATTTACCCTTGATTTTCTCTTTTTTCTTATTTATTTTTCTAATTTTCAGATTTAAAAAAAAACAAGAAAATTAAAATTAAAAAAAAAAATCACCCTTACTATCAAACTCACTCACTATCTCTTTAACATACATAACACTCATCTCTCTCTCACTCCATGTGTCACCGGAAACAATCGCGACCTGGCAGAAACCACGGCCGCCTATCGGAAACCACCGCCACTAGCTGTAAACCACCGCTACAGCCGTCATTCTTCCTCTACTTCATCTCTCTCCTTCTCCCACGTAAAGAGTTTATTTGATTTCACCGGAAAAACTTTTCAGATTCAAGATTTCCCATATCTGTTTTCGAATTTATGGTTTTCGCCGGAAAAAACATCGGGATACAAGATCAACGACGTTGTTTTCAGATATGTGCAAACCCTTTGGAAACCATCGTGAAACCACCACCACCATCGATTTTCTGGAGGGTTTTCATCTTCAGCCCTTAGCATCTCCGATTTATATGCACATCGACGAAGAGAACCTCAGTTACACCTCAGGCTTCGCAATATCTCAGGTATAAGAAGCCCTAATAATATCGCCATTGTATCAGTCGGAGGAAAAGAACTTGAATGGAGTCATCACCTCTTTCTCAGTTGCATATCGGAGCGACGCCGCCGTCCTTCTTCTTCGGCATAAACCCACTGTCACCGTCGTCCTTGTTCTTTGCCGAAAACCCTCTCCCGCCGACGTTTGTGGCTCGAGTTTCTAGCTCTGATCTACGTTTGTGAAGGGTTGAAGCGAGATCGGACGGTGTCTCCTCATCACCGACTGTGTCTCTTCATCTCCGTCTGTGGCACTTCATCTTCGTCTGTGGCTTGAGTTTCTAGCTCCGATCTCTAATCTATGTTTCAGGCTTTCTTCGTCTCCGACGGTGTCTCTTCATTCCCCTTATACCGACTTTATGTGATGGTGGTTGTGCTACCAGTTGCGGCTTCTGGTGGTGGTGGTTGTGTTTTGACCGGTGATGTAGTGTTAAGTGGGTGTTTACAAAAATAAAAATAGCAAATAACTGGGGAGGGGATATTTACATTTTTTTTTCTTTTTGTATTTATTTAAATAAAAAAATAATAAAAACAATAAGATAAAAAGGGCAAACTCATCCTTTTGAAAAAATAAATAAAATAAATTTATCAAAATCGCAACAAAATGAAAGTTTTTTACTAGTGGTGTTAGTCCAAAACTTTTTGGACCAAAGTGGCAGTTTTCGAGATAACATAGGGACCATTTTTGCAGTTTAGTATACCTTTTAAGACCAAAGCTTTATATATGGGAAAATGACTTATCAAGGTAATTAATTTTTCGGTATATTCACATCTGGGTAACTATCTTTTTTTTGTACACATATAGGTAACAAACTTTTTGGAAGTGTTCACATATGATCATTATGACCTGTTGTAGCAGGTTACATCCTAGATGTAAACACTTTTGACAAGTTCGTTACCTGGATGTGTACAAAAAAAATAGTTACCCAAATATGAACAAAACGAAAAAGTAAAAGTAAATTACACGAATGGTCCCTGTGGTTTGGAGGAATTTGTATTTTTGGTCCCTAACTTATTTTTTTAACTCGGATGGTCCCTACTGTTTATTTTTATTGCGCGTTTGGTCTTTGTCTTACCTAAAAAGACTATTGTGCCCTTATTAATTTATTTTTTAATTAATTTTCTTATTTATGTATTTATTTTTATATATTTAAAAAAAATAATAGACCCCACATATCTATATCTCCTCGGATGATCCCTATTGTTTATTTTTTAATTAATTTATTTTTTTAACTCGGATGATCCCTACTGTTTATTTTTGTTATGTGTTTGGTCTCTGTCTTACCTAAAAAGACTATTGTGCCCTTATTAATTAATTTTTTTTAATTAATTTTCTTTTTTATGTATTTATTCTTTATATATTAAAAAAATTAATAGACCCTACATATCTCTGTCTCCTCACCATCACATCTCTCATCCTCCTCAACTTCTATTTATTTTCCATCTTTAGTGATATCGACGTCTTCACCATCCCTTCTTTTTTCGGTCCTTCAACTCCGTCGAATTAACACCACAACCTAGTGAACCCACTAAAAATGAAGAGACAGTGGGTTATGGTGTTGGTTCGCCATAGTTGAAGGACCAAAAAAAGAAGAATGGTGAAGACGTCGATGTCACTAAAAATGGAAAAGAAATAGAAGTTGAGGAAGATGAGAGATAGGATGGTGACCGGTGAGACCCAAATTAAATTTCTCAAATGTGGTTTCAGGTTTACGGTGAGGAGATATAGATATGTGGGGTCTATTAACTTTTTTAAATATATAAAAAATAAATACATAAATAAGAAAATTAATTAAAAAATAAATTAATAAGGGCACAATAGTCTTTTTAGGTAAGACGGGGACCAAACGTGCAACAAAAATAAACAGTAGGGACCATCCGAGTTAAAAAAATAAGTTAGGGACCAAAAACACAAATTCCCCCAAACCACAGGGACCATTCGTGTAATTTACTCTTTACTTTTTGTTTTGTTCATATTTGGGTAACTACTTTTTTTCTACACATCTAGGTAACGAACTTGATGAAAGTGTTCACATCTAGGATTTAACCTGCTACAGCAGGTCATAATGGTCATATGTGAACACTTCCAACAAGTTTGTTACCTAGATGTGTACAAAAAAAAAGATAGTTACCCAGATGTGAACATACAGAAAAGTTAATTACCTTGATAAGTCATTTTCTCATACTTCATCTACTTTTTATTTCTATGTCTCATCATTTTATTTTTATATTTCTCTTTAAAACCTAGGAAATTACTATCTTTCGTTTTTTTTCATTTATTAAATATAGTTTATACAAATATTATACTATTTTGTAGAGAATTAAAAACCATAAATTTTAATATCTTTTAATAACTTTTAGTGCATATATAATTTAATAAAAAAATTGGAAAAAAAACGCATTGGCCAATTAGGAGAAGAGAGAAAGTGCGGGAAACACGAACCACATACACCCACCCAGCTGTTGAAAAGAGTGTCTAATGTCATTAACTATTGATAATATTTCTAATAATAACAGTGTCCTTATGGGTTGCCCTCAAGACCCAAATTGAGTAGAATAAATAAAGGAGAAATAGGTTTATCAATTATTATGGTTAATAATTAATTAGAAACTAATTGGAAATATATTTGGGAAATTAATTAACAGATTAATTAATTAAAGATTTGAATAAACATTAATCGATAGTTGGTTGGTTAATCATGAATGTTCCAGAACCCTTATAGAATTAGGGTTGGACGGAAATCACTTCATCCCACATGGGAAACTAAGTGAATTTCGTTGTAACGCTTGTTATGAGTATGTTTCCTTTTTGCCCTTTATATTTTAAAGTTTTGCATTATTGGCCCTTGGAGTTAGTATGCGGGGCGTACCACATGCTACGCTTAGCGTACTAGCTGAGAAGCTAGTACACGGGGGGTACTACATGCTACGCTTAGCATACTACGAAGGAGTTTGATCGCGGGTGCAAGGCCTCGTACGTTGGGCGTATGAGGGTTACGCATAGGGTTGTAAACGAACCGAACGAACACGAACGGGGGCTTGTTCATGTTTGTTCATTTAAGTTAGCCGAACAAATGAACGAACACGAACGAATAAACGAACGAGTTTTCTTGTTCATGTTCGTTCGTTTAACAAATTACATTGTTCATGTTCGTTCGTTTATGTTCGTGAACAAGTTAAACGAACATAAACAAACTAACGTAAATAAACAAAGATAAATAAACATAATTGAACATAAATGAACATATAATATAGTAATGTAATCAAACACGATTAAGCATATATGAATATAAAATGAACTTATATGAACAAACATAAACGAACTTAAATGAACAACATAAACGAACGTTCACGAACATAATTGAACGAACGAGATCATTGTTCATATTCGTTCGTTTAACTAAACGAACGATAATTTATGTCCGTGTTCGTTCATTTATTAAATAAACGAACATAAACGAACTTCCCACCGAACGGTTCATGAACTGTTCGATGAACGTTCAGTTCGTTTACAGCCCTAGTTACGCATGGCGTACGTGGAGGATAAGAAACCCTAGTTTTAGAGTGTTGCACCCTATATAAGGTTGTTGAGAGAAAAACTTGAGAAACACACTTGAAGAAATGTTAGTACAAGTTTATATTGCGGAATTAA